GACTTAGCACGCCACTACACCTTTTGCTGTCTCTTGCTCCCGCCCTGTTCACACGCCGTTGCAATCAAATGCACTCACATGCATGCATGTGTGCGCTGCTGTCACAGGATTTGGAGAGCAGCTGGCTCGAGCGAGTGGAGGCCGCCACCGCCCCCAAGGTGCGTCATTATGCGCGCGTGTGTTCATGTGTGTGTGTGTGTGTGCGTGCGTGTGCGTGTGCGTGTGCGTGGGTGGGTGAGTGCATGGACTTGCGCACCTGTGTGTTTTTCTTGTCTGAACACCCGCACGCTCAATACTTGCTTGGTACACTCGTGTGTACGTCGACAAGCCCCGGCACTCATTTTACTTTCATCTGCTCAACCCCCGTTTTCAATCACCCCTCCTTTTTCTTGCGCAGGAGTTTGTGTCGCTGCTGCTTGAGCTTGAGCGCAATACATCGCGCAAAGCGCTGCGCACATCCTCCGCGCGATCGCGGGCGGCCGGCGTCCTCATCTTCCTCACAGACAAGCTCGACGCAGACCAGCAGCTCATCGCACAAGAAGGTGCGCTCCCCGCCTTTGTTGTTTGCCTGTTGTGTTTGCCGCTCTGTGTGTGTGTGTGTGCTGTTTGTGTTTTGTCTGTGTCGTGTATGTGGACATGCTTCTGCGTCTCTTGCCCGCGCACCTGCAACGTGCGCAGCATATATTCACCAATTGCATGTCTTAACTGCCTACCAGAGCTTGAGCGTGCGCGCGAATGGGTGGAAAGCCTTGGGCTGGACGACCTGCCGTTTGTTGACGCTGCTGCTGCTGCTGCTGCTGCTGCGGATGCTACTGGCGAAGAAATGGACCAGAGCAAAGAGAACCACGACATTGAGGAGAACGGAGACGACGCACCAAGCGCAACCGCGACCGACGAGAACAAGGCCGCTGTGTACACGCCGCCAATTATCGACACGTTTGCCGAGTGGTGGTGTCAGTCGTTGCAAACGGTCGCAAACATCTCGCAGGTGAGAAGCGAACGAGATGGCGTCCGTGTTGTGCATCATGCTTCCAACACAAGCCTTTCAAGCTATGCCACAAACACAGAACAACAACAACAACAACAATGACAATGACAATGACAATGACAATGACAGGGCCGTTACAATCACCAACGTGCCCTCACACTGTGCCTCCACCCCCCCCCCCCTTCTGCCCGCCCTGCAGATTTATCACTACGTTCGCATTCTCGACAACGCAATTGCCTGGCGTAAGTACAACAGCACGAGCACGTGTGCATGCATTAGTGTGCGTTTGCTGCGCGTTTTCTCTGTCCCCACCTACTCCTCTTGTCTTCCCAGACCACTTCTTGTGCGTTAAACCAAGCCATGCGTGCTCTCGTGTGCTCCCGTGTGCTCCCGTGTGCTCCCGTGTGCTTCAACCTCACACGACGCCACCTGCGTGCAACCAAACCGGCACAGGCCGCATCACTCGTGCCCGCTCGTCGTCCCGCGCATCTGCATCTGCCCGCGACGAAAACGACGAAGAGGAAGAGGAAGAGGAAGAGGAAGTGGACACGGAGGCGCTTGCAAAGGCGCTGAAGAGCCCGGCAGCGCGGCGGCGGGCAAAGGGACGCGTGAGGCGGCAGCGGTCTGCATCGCACAGCGAAGAGGAGGAGGGCGAGGACTCGGAGTTCAAGGAGAGCGATGAGGAGGAGGAAGATGACAATGACGATGACAGCGACTACGAAGATGAGGAAGAGGAAGAAGAAGAAGAGGAAGAGGAAGAAGAAGAAGAGGAAGAGGAGGAAGAGACGCTGCGGCGCGGGCGGCGGTCGCGTGGCGGGCGGCAACAGCAGCGGTCGTCGTCTCGGCGATCCACGCGCAACTCAAAGCGGCTCTCAAGCTCTGGTGACGATGACGAAGAGGAGGAGGAAGAAGTAGAAGAGGAGGAAGAAGCACCACCCACGCGCAGCCGCCGGCGCATCGCTGCTGGGAAGCGGCGCAGCAAGCGGTCACGCGCCAGGTGATTTGAGCCGTTTGACATTGGACGGACACTGCTTGCTCGCTACTGGTCGGGTGGTGTTGGACCGCCACCAACCACGCGCGCGCACACGTGTGTGTGTGTGTGTGTGTGTGTGTGTGTGTTGTTTTGGTTGCCTGACAACAACCAGATGATGCACTTGTTGCTTGATGTGTGATTTTCTTTCGATTAGGGGCGTTGTGTCTGTATCTGTGTGCGCGTGGTTGTGTGTGTGTGTGTGTGCGCGTGTGTGTGTGGATTTGCAGATTCATTCGCGCGTTTTGTTGGTCGTGTGTTCGTTTATTCGTTCATATCGGTTTGTGTCGATTAAACAAGGGTTGGAAGGGCAAATCAGCACACAGTTGCTTGGATCATGACGCAACATGATGCCACACCACACTGTCATCGCCATCACTCCGCCGCTGGTGGCGATCCGTAGAACGCGTCCAGCATTGCCGCCTTCTCCTCTTCGCTGCTCGAGAGCACGCGCAGTGCAAACTCGAACAGATTCACGCACCCGTGACTGAGAAACAAAGCAGCAATGAGCAGGAGGGTGGAAACAGCAATGGTCGTGGTGAGCACAGATAATGTCACATGTGCAGCACCGATCCGTGCTCAGCGACCGCAGATAAACACGTGCACACAAACAAACAAAAAAAAAAAAAAACAAACAAACAAACAAACAAACAAACAAACAAACAAAACACACCACACACACACGCAAACAAACACACACCTGGCTGCGAGCCGCATAAAGTGGTTGAGTTGCACCGCTGTCTCCAGTTCCAGTTGTCGCTCTTCCGCTGCCGTTAGCGAGGGCAGGCTTCGCCGCTTCTTTGCCTTGTCCACAGCACCATCGCCTGCGTGTGTGCCGTCCGCCTGACGCGGTGCTTCGGGCGCGTTGTGCGGCACATCCAATCCCAGCACACGCGCGTTGGAGTGCATGAAGGAAACACCGCACTGCTGCAGCAGGAGCTCCACCCTGTCTGGCCCATCAGCATCGCCGCCTCCACCGCCCGCCACCTGTGCAGGGCCGTCGGCATTTGCGGCTGCGGGCGCGGTTGGACCACCATCGTCCACGAACAGCTGGTCAATGTCAAGCTCAATGTCTTCCTCCTCATCGGCCACGGCATCGCCCGCTTGCTCGGCTCGCTGCTGCTGCTGTCGTTGCTGCCGCTGCTGTTGGTACTGACGCTGGAGGGCGACGGCGCGCTCTGTCAGCAGCTCGTACGGCGCCACAATCATCCCGTGCTCGTCCTGCACACAGAGGGGGCAGCAGCGAGGCACACCACGGACACCATGAATCAGGGCATGGGGACAATCCAAAAAGATATGGAAGACATACGCACATCCTCAAGGAACAAGCGAAACACGCACGCGCGCGCACACACGCATTCACACGCACACACATTCACACAAAATACAAGCACACGCACGCGCATACACATACACACATACACAGACACACATTCACGCACACACACACACGCACACACACACGCACACACACACGCACACACACACACACACACACACACACACACACACACACACACACACACACACACACACACACACACACGAAACCCATACAAAAGCGACCGCGTCACGTCACCTGGCGGCGGCGGATGACCTGCTTCACCAGCTCCTCGTCCAGCTCCGATGCAAACATGTTGTCGAGCCCAAACAGTTCGCCCTTGCGGGACGGGTCACCCTGCACACCCTCAAAGAACCTGCGCTGTGCCCGCCCCTCTAGCGCCACGGCCGCCAGCTGCTGCTTGTACAGTTGTCGTGCGTACATGAGCTCCTCGATGGTGCCGGAGGAGATGAGCCGCACCACCTCCACGTCCTGGTTTTGTCCAATGCGCCACGCGCGGTGCTCCGCCTGTGGCGGTCGCAATACAGCGGACAACGAGGGCGTGTGAAGCATGGAACTCGGGTGGCACCTCATGTGTGTGTATGTGTCTGTGCGTGCGTGCGTGTGCGTGTGCGTGTGTATGTGTCTGTGCGTGCGTGCGTGTGCGTGTGCGTGTGCGTGTGCGTGTGTATGTGTGTGTGTGTCTGTGTGTCTGTGTGTGTATGTGTGTGTGTGTGTGCGTGGGCCTGCCACAAGTGCGCTTGCTCGCCTGCGTCTGCCTTCATCTGCTCTTCAACCTCTCGCCCATGGCGTGGTCACCTGGCGGTCCTCAGCCGGATTCCAGCTTGGATCAAAGATGACAATCTTGTTGGCGCGGGTGAGGGTGATGCCTGTGTTGGCCGTCTTCGTGGAGAGGAGAAACACGTCGACGGTACCGGCGTTGAAGCGATTGATTGCCTCTTGCCGCTCCTCGGTGGGCATGTTTCCGTCCATGCGAAGATAGCTCACGCCGCGCCCTCGAAACACATCCTTGTGGTGGTGGGAGGTGGGAGGATTCCGATGTGAGTGCGAGGCGGTTAAGCGAAACGTCCCATGAAATGCACGCACATGTGCGTCCCCACAACAAACAAAACACGCACGACACACACACACACACGCACACACACACAAACACACACACACACACACGCACACACACACAAACACAAGCACACACAAACACAAACACACACACACACAAACACACACACGCACGCACAAACGCAGCTTACCATCATAATGTCGAGGAGTTTGAGGGAGTGTGAGAAGAGGAGGACACGCGCATCTTCCTCGCGCCAAATGGACAACAGCTTCAGCAGCACTTTGAGTTTGCCGGACACCTCTGGGTCGCCAATGGCGGTGGGGTCGTTTCGCCGCGCGCGCTGCAGCCACGCCTCCTCGCCTCGAAAGGCGGCAGCACAGTCCCGCTCCTTCTGTGCGGCGCGTGGGCATATCGGTGTTGGAAGCATCCACGTGTGAGGAATTGCAGAAAACCAACTAAAGCAATGGCGGAGCCGGGAACGCTGATCTTGAACACAATCACACACACACACACATACACACACAAAAACACACACACACACACATTCACACACACACACAACACACTCAGAGCGCGTGCGACCTTGATGACGGTGAGCTCGTCGTCGCCCGGGCGCGGAACGAGAAGAGCGACGTGATTCGCAACGTTGCGCAGGAGAACAACAAGAGGGAAGATGAGGTAGCTCCATGGCATGCAGCCGTTGGTTCCTGTGGTGTGACCACGCGAGGCACCAGTTGGAAGAGCAAGGGGGCGGCGCGGAAAATGGGATGGGTTGTACGCAAATCAGCGCGCTGCGGTGGGGCTAGGTGACAGGCACACACACGCACACACGTACACACGTACACACACACACACACACACACACACGCACACACACACACGCACACACACACACACACACGCACACACGTACACACGTACACACACACACACGCACACACGTACACACATACACGCACACACCGCTGGCGATGGCCTCTTGGGAGCAGTGGCACTTGCGGCAGCGACGAATCTTCTCTGGATCGTCAGTGCTGCCGCCACAAGTGCACACGTCCCCGCGCTTGTGGTAGCGGGTGAGCTGATAGCAGCACTGGGAACGCGTCAGTTGCCGTTCGCGGGCTTGATTCGCCTCGCACAGACACGGCAGGTTCCGCTGGGTGATGTACTGCAAACAAGTGTGTGTGTGTGTGCGTGCAAAAGTGGGGACTTGAGAGATGACGACATGCTGTGGCAAACGGACGCGGGTTAGGCAACGCATGAACAGTGCCAGGCACGCAGACCCGTGCGCCTTTGCACATGTGCTCATGCCCACTGACCACGACGTCGTCCTGCGAAAGAATGTTCTCGTAGACCTTTCGCTGCAGCGGTGTCATCTGCACATCCAAACGGAAAAGCCATGCAACCACAAGCGAGAATCAGCGCGCTTTGAGTTCAGACACGATGCACAAGACAAAACGTCCAACGACCACGACCACGCACATGCAACGTACGCACCTTGCAGAAGACGACACGATCCTCCTTCTTCGGCAGCTGGCCAGCGAGCACAACCTCGGTGCTGCACGCGTGTACAGTGGACCATGATGACCATGCGTTTCAAGCAACAAGCACAGCAGATGGTCAATACGCAGCCGCAATCCATACAAACATGCACAAACTCACAAGCAAACAAACAAACACGCGCAAACTCACAAGCAAACAAACAAACGCACACACACATACGCACAAACTCACAAGCACGCAAACAAACACGCAACGCACCGTCTCAGGAAGAAAGGCTTCATCTTGTCAATGAGCTCCCGCCCGCGCTGCTCTGCCAACTCGATTTCGTCCAGCGTGCCATTCATGACCTGCCCTCGCTTGATGGGCGTGGCGACATTTGCCAGAAACTGGGACAAGGGCCCAAGCGCGTTTGGCCAGGCCCAGTCCAGAAGGCACCACAGCTCCTTGAAGTCGTTGCGAAGAGCAGTGCCCGTGAGCCCGATGCGGTGTTGGACGGGGAATGACTTCATCGCCGTCGTCAGCTTCGCCCGTGGCGACCGTATCTTGTGAGCCTCGTCCGCCACCACCAGCAGCCACGGCACCTGCGCCAGGCCCGCAGCGTCGCGCTGGAAGGTCGTGTATGTCGTCACCACCACGTCGTACGCCGCAGCATCAGCCGTGAGCGCATCCAGCACGCGCGTTCGCCCGCTGCCGTGGAATTTGCCGACGGTGAAGTGGCCCCACCGCTCAAGCTCCTCCAGCCACGTCCCAAGCACCGTGTTTGGCGAAATCACCAGCACAGGCGCTGACAGTTGTGTGTGTGTGTGTGTGTGTGTGTGTGTGTGTGTGTGTGTGTGTGTGTGTGTGTGTGTGTGTGTGCGTTCGGTGAGAGAGAGAGAGAGCGTATGGGTGTGTGATGTATGTACGTGAGTGTGTGCTTGTTAAATACGCACGTGAGCAGATATGTTACAGCAGCATCGCAGTGCACATTTGGTGCCAACTCACCTGCAAGCTTTGGGATCGCGTCAACGGCGGCATCATACGTCTTCTGCAACAGCGTCGCAAGCAGCGCAATCACTTGCACAGTCTTTCCAAGACCCTGTCAACAGGGCGGTGCATAGCGGTTCCAAGTCAGTCCAATGACGCAACACATGTCGATGGCCACTGTTCCAATCGTGTCCACACACACACACACACACACACACACAGCCTCACACACACACACACGCACACGCACGCACGCACGCACGCACGCACGCACGCACACAAGCAGACACACACACACACGCACATACACGCACCATGTCGTCTGCGAGGACGCCGCCGTGCCCATCCAAAAGCCACTTTGCCATCGTCTCCACCCCCTCCCGCTGGTACGGGCGCAGAAATTGGTTGATGGGCCCCGGGATGGACAGCTGTGTTCGCCGCAGCCGCGCCCACGGCGACCCACCCTCCCCCACCGCGTGCTGTGCCGGCATCCACACGACGTGCGGCTGCGGTGATGGGAGCTGATGCAGGGACGAGGGGAGGTCGGGCCGGGGTTTGGCCGTCACAGCAGCGACGTAGCGGCGCCGCTCACGCATTCGCCGCACACGCGCGCCCATGATTGCGTTGTGGTCATCCTCGCCAGCATCGCTGCTACCGCTACTGCTGTCGGTGTCTTGTTGCTGCTGCTGCTGCCGCTGAGCCCGCCGCGATGACGCCATGCCGCCGGCTCGCCCCGCTGCCTTTGCACGTGCTCCGCCTGTCTTGTGCGCCTCATGGTACGCAAGGAACCCGTCCATGTCATCCGATGACGACCGTGATGATGATGGCGATGGCGATGGCGACGGTGATGACTGGTCGCGGCGGTGATGATGATGATGATGATGATGATGTCGCCGTCGTGATCGTCGCGTATGCGCGAGTGTGCGTGTGCCTCGACCGTGATGGTGGTCCCGCCGTTTACCCACGCGCCGTGCAACTTCGTCCACATCACCGTCATCGTCAACTTGTTCCTCACCATCATCATCATCATCACCTTCTTCTTCGCCATCATCATCATACTCTTCGTCATGATCCTCCTCTTCCTCTTGCTCTTCGTCTTCGTAGGCGCGTGCATGCCGTTGCTGCCGTGAGGAACGCTGAGTTCCACGCTTCGCGACAGGTGCAACTGACGCTCCCCGTGCCTTCCTATTCGTCTTCCCGCTGCGGGTGGCGTGGCGTGCCCGCAGAGCTGACGACGCTGACGATGCCATTGCGCGCATATCACGATCATCGCCATCACCAGCAGTGGCAGTGGCAGTGGACGTGGCGGTGGCGCGGCCAGCACGGGACGTTGTGCTCATCTTTCTTCTGGGCGACTGCACGTGCCTGCCATGTGGTGACGTGGGTACGGCTTGCTCGGTTCCGCGTGCGGGCTTGCGGCTCTTGCGTGCGCGTTTGGGCGCAGGAGGCGCGCTGCCGTCATCGTCTTGTTGCACATGACTGTCTCGCTGGCCATGCCCGTCACCACCCTCGTCCTCACTCCCACTGCTACTGCTCCCATACATGGCCGAATAGTACGCCCGCCTCTGCTGCGCCTGTGTGAGTGTGTGAGTGAGTGTGTGTGTGAGTATGTGAGTGTGCGTGTGTGCGTGTGTGCGTGTGTGCTGCATGAGGAGGTGCAGAAGTAATTCAGGTTCACACACACACACACGTACGCACACACACGCACACACACACCGATTCCAAGCACACACAAGCGCAAACACACAGAGCAATTCCAAGCACACACAAGCACACACACACAAGCACACATACAAGCTTACAAGCACAAGCACACATGCACAAGCACACATACACACGCGCGCGCACACCGTGTTGGAGAAGGCGAGGGCGGCTTGGCTGTCGTCAGCTGGCGGACGCTGACGCACGCGCTCGAGTGTCTTCCAGAACTGCAGTGGCTCGTGGGACCCTTGGCGTGTGCTGTGTGCTGGTCGACGCTGTGGGGACCGAGCAGCTGTTGATGTTGCTGTTGTGATTGCTGTTGTGGTTGCTGTTGTGGTTGCTGTTGTGGTTGCTGTTGTGGTTGTTGTTGTGGATGGTGCGCTCACGTGCTCGACGGCGCGTTCCTCATCCTCGTCAGCTTCAGTGTCCTGGTCATCCTCCTCAGCCAGCGGCCTCTCTCCCGCCCTGGACGTGTGCATGTGTGTGTGTGTGTGCGAGCGTATCAGTGAGTGTGTTTTTGTGAGTGTGAGTGCGGTGTGCGTGTGAGTGGCGTATGCGATGTGCTGCTGCTGCTGCTGCTGCTGCTGCTGCTGCTGCTGCCATTGTGTGAACGCGTCCGATTGTTTGTGTGTATCATTGTGTCGATGAACTGACCGCGTCTGCGTGGAGATCCATCTGTGTTTGCGGTTGCACGAGCGAGAGTGGTGTCAAGCAAGAGGTGTGAGAGAAGAGCCAGAGAAGGTGTCCAAATGCATCACACACACACAAGCACACGCACACACGCACGCACACACACACACACGCACACACAAGCACACACAAGCACACACAAGCACACACAAGCACACACACACACACACACACACACACACACACACACACACACACACACACACACACACACAAACGAACAAACCCGTCATCCTCCTCGTCGTTCATGGCTCGACGTTTGTTTGAAGATACGCACAGTTTTCTACAAGCCACGAACCGCTGGCTGGTTGTGTTGTCCTCCCACGCCCACCAAACCACAGCACAAGACGCTGCTCTAAGACGATGGCGAGCTGGTATCACGGGGACCTGTCAAAGGGCGATGCAGATGGTGAGTGTGGACATGTTTGATTCTTGACTTGTGGTGGTACACGCACGTTGTACCACTCAACTGCTTTACCTGTGTAATGTAAATTTGCAAGCTTCACTTCACTCTTCTTGGCTTGTTCTTGTGTTTTGCTGGGTGGTTGCTTGCAAGCACGGACAAGAACCGCGTGATCTCAGGGGCTCACTTGTTTTGTTCTTGCCTGTCACTGGCATGCAAATTCGCGCACTTGCACATCATGACGCCTTCCTTGTGCCCTCCTACCAGCACTGCTCTCGGGCAAGCCAGATGGTGCCTTTTTGGTCCGCGAGCGCACAGGCACGCAGGACTATATCTTGAGCGTGAACTTTCGCGGCAACCCTACACACCACTTGCTGCAGAAGCAGGACGGGTCCTTCTGTGCCAACCGCACAAGCTTCGGCAGCGCCCCAACCGTCTCAGATGTAAGTTCATATCCGTGACGGCAGGAGGAGGAGATCGGTAGATGGCGTGATAGCCATGGTGTGCACTTTTGTACATACGCAGCATCTTGGGGTTCCTACACATCACTCCACACACACACACCGCACATACACACACGCACACACGTAAACACAAGCACATACATCTGCACACACAAACACGCACACCCACGCACATGAACCCCTCTTCTAGTTAGCTCACCCGCACCCCACTCCGCTACGCCTTGTCTCTTTGTCTGTGAAAGCTGATCAACATCCTTCGCAAGCCCGCAGAGAAATGGCCAATCGTACTCAACCCGCCAGTGTCGCCACGAGCTCCAATCACCGCCCCGCCGGACGTAGTTCCAAGGGCACAGCCTGCTCCTCCCCCTCCGTCACAAACACAACCACCACAAGCGGCGAACCCAATTGATGTTCCCGTTTTCGTCATCACGCCAAAGAAGGAGGCAGAACGTGAGTGCTTCAGTCTGGTAGAGGACACGCTCCCGTGCACCTTTGCACTCGTGCATGCACCCTCTCTCCCTCTGGAACCAGTCTTAAGAGCTCTTAGGGCTAGGATTAGAGAGCCCCCATCGTCTCACTCGCTCCACTGTACTCAACACGGCACACACTCCTTCACAATGCAGGGGCTCTGACATCGCAGGGCATGCAGGATGGAAACTTTCTTGTTCGTGCCCGGGCAAAGAATGATCTGTCCAGCTTCATTCTCAGCGTGATTTACAAAAACCAGCCAACCCACCACCTCATGACTGTCAGTCCAGAAGGTGGTGTCAGCGTCAACAAGAATTCGTGCGGAACAGCCAAAACGATTTCTCAGGTGTGTGTGTGTGTATGTTTGTGTGCTTGTGTGTGTGTGTGTTTGTGTTGGTGTGTGTGTGTGTGTGCGTGCGTGTGTGTGTGCGTGCGTGTTTGTGTGTTTGTGTGTGTGTGTGTGTGTGTGTGTGTGTGTGTGTGTGTGTGTGTGTGTGTCTGTGCTTCTCACTCTCTCTCTCTCACACACACACACACTCTCTCTCTCTCTCTGTGAAATGTCACGGGTGCATGTCGTTATGCCTGTCCCCCTCTTGGTGCGTGGACTTGCTTCCTTTTCGTTGTTCACAACCCCAACCCACATGGCATTCCTTCTTGTGTTATCTCTTCTCTCCTCACCCGCCTGTCCCTCTCCTTCCACAGGCGCTGACGTTTCTCCGCGCATCCCGGCCCTGGTGGCCAGTGCCGCTCCAAGCATTCATCCAACCGCCGCGGGTTCGTTTGCATATCTTCTTTCTGCACTCATTGCCCCAAGCTGTACAGCCTGCGCTGCGTTCCTCATGCTGTGCTGTTCTTGTTGTCCCAACTGCTCTTGTCTGTCTCTTCTTGCACGCGCTGGTACCAGGATAAGCGACTGAAGGTTCAGGATGAACAACCCGCAGCGGCTGATGATGTGAGTCACGCACGTGCACGTGTGTGTGTGCGTATGCGTGTGTGTGTGTGTGCTTGTGTGTGCTTGGGTGTGTGTGTGTGTGTGTGCTTGTGTGTGCTTGTGTGTGTGTGTGTGTGTGTGTGTGTGCGTGTGTGTGTGCTCATGTTGGTCTGGCTTGCACGCGTTGTGGCGCACCAGCATCCTGTCGTTTTTGGCCTTTTGCACTCGTGTGATCTGATGCCCAACCTGTTGTTCTTGGAAGGAGCCCCTCCCTGTTCCACCCCCGCGAAGCGTCGATGTGCCAACTCCGGCACCGGGTGCCCCCGTTGCAGAAGCAGCGGCGCCACCGCCCGTCCCTGATCGCGCGAGCAAGCACAAGCCCAGGCTTCCCATCCACACCAACATGAACAAGTTCGACACCGAGGGTACGTGTTCATGTGTGCCTGTGTCTGTGTGCCTGTGTCTGTGTGTCTGTCTGTATGTCTGTGTGTGTGTGTGTGTGTGTGTGTGTGTCTGTCTGTGTCTGCGAAGCGTAGTGTTGATGGCGATGCGGTTCACTTCCGCTCGCCGCCTCTGCACTCTTGACTGTTCCACCGATCCAATACACTCACACTCACACTCACTCATGCACACACGCGCACGCACATGCGCCCTTTCCCTCCTCAACAGAGGTGTTGATGGAAGAATCGACAGAAGATGGTGCTTACTTACTGCGCGAGCGTGGCGAAAACACGTATGTGATCACCGTGCGCTTCAAGGGCCGCCCAACCCACCACCTCGTCCACTGCCAGGACGGTGTGCTGACGCTCAACAAGCAGCGCATTGACGGCACGTTTGTCGACATCCACGACGTACGCACCATTGCACCTGATGAATTGTTCCACCCGTAATGCACTGGCGGCATGATTGCTGCTGTTTTGGCCGCCGCCGCCACCACCACCAAAACCACTACTACCTTGCTCCTTCTCCTCCTCCACTACCACGCTCCTTCTCCTTCTACTTTCCCCCCTCCTTGCATGCTGTCAACGCCCACACGTGTGCACCTGTGTTTTTGTCTGCGACCGCTTTGCTTTCTCGCTGCAGGTGGTGGCCCACTTGGGCGAGGCGCATCCCTACTGGCCCGTGCCACTTCAAACACCCATCTTCCCACAGGTGAGCTCGCATCCTTGCAGAAATGCGGCTGTCATTCTGCACGAATCCAACCACCTGATGCCCGCTTGCATGTCTCACACACACACACACACACACACACACACACACACACACACACACACACACACACACACACACACACACACACACACACACACACACACACACACACACACACACACACACACGCACGCATGACCTACACCATCAGGGAATGCAAGCATCCGAAGCACCCGCGGCGCCCGTCTCCACGCCCGCGGCACCAGTGCAACAACAGCAACATCAACAGCAACAATACGAGGAGCAGCAACAGCAAGAGCAGCAGCGCCAACAAGCCCAAGAGCTGCAGGCCGCAGAGGAGTTGCGTCAGCGCCAACTGCAAGAGCAGGAGGCAGCACGACAACAGCAGTTGCAGCAGCAAGAGCAACAACGACAGCAAGAACTGCAACAACAGCAAGAGCAGCAGAGGCAACAGGCTGAAGCTGAGCGGAAGCAACGAGAGATGCAGCAACAGCAGCAGAAGCAAAAGGAAGAGGAGGAGCGGCAACGCCGTCAGCGCGAGGAAGGCGAAAGAAAGCGTTTGGAAATGCAAAACCGCGTGCAGGTCGACACCAGCAAACGCATTGTCCTCCCCGTCGTTCCACCAGAGGAGCTGAGGTGTGTGTGTGTGTGTGTGTGTGTGTGTGTGTGTGTGTGTGTGTGTGTGTGTGTGTGTGTGTGTGTATGTGTGTGTGCGTGTGCGTGTGTGCGTGTGCGTGTGTGCGTGTGTGTGTGTGTGTGCGTGCGTGTGTGTGTGTGTGCGAATTTGCTTGTGTATGTCCATGAGTGCATGCATGTGCATGTATATGCTCTGCGTGGCGCGTGGTTTGTTGCGATCCATTTATGGCCAAAAACAACACTCCCGCTCAACTACCGCCCGCACACTCTTGCCCCCTTTGCTCTTCCTCTGATCCTCTCCTCTCGACCTTTGGTTCTCCACCCAACGCCACCGCACTGCAGACGACAGGAGGAGTCGCGCAAGATGCGATTTGCGATGCTGAAGGTGATCAATCGTCGCCGTCTTCCCCGCGATGCCCCGCTCGTCTCACGCATGTTCGCAGATGTGCTGCAAGGTACAGCGCCATGCAACCTTTGCTTGCTCGATCAACATTGCATGGTGCACTGACCAGACCTGGGGTGGCAACTCCAACATCACACACCACACGCCACCACAACCTCCACCTTTGTCTTGAATCTGGACTGATGTCGCACATTCCTACCATCACTGGCGTTTGTTGTCAGGCAACATGCCTCAGAGCACGCGAAGCGCCTGCATTGCCAATGCAAAATCCATCATCGCAAAGTGGGACGCCGAAGCATCATCAGGTTCACACACCACTGCTGCTTTTCTTCCCTTATGTATGCGCGCGGTTGTGTGCAAGTGTGTGGTTGTGTGCAAGTGTGTGTGTGTGTGTGTGTGTGATCTCATCTCAGCTCACACGTAACTGTGTTCGCTTGGCGTTGTATCTTCCTCTTCGTTCTTGTGACAGCGAGTGAACAACGCTACGACGATGGTGAGCACGACACTAGCTTGCGCGACACATGTTCCCTCACAAGTTGTGCTTGAGTGCACCCGTACATGCGTGTGATGCATTTGGCTTTACGCGCCGTTGACTGGCTCCCTTATGATTTCTCATGCGTGCGACCACGCACACACACATGCATGCTCATGCATACGCACACACCCACATGCACGCGCCTACACACTATGCATGCTCTACAGACCTTTCAACCTCACACGACGCGGTAAGATGCACACATTGTTTACACTGGCTGCAAAGCATATCATGACCGCTGACAGTCATGACTGCAGCTATTGCGCAGCCGCGTGATACACGATCACTCACGTCTTTTTGTGCATGTGTGTGTGTGTGTGTGACAGCAACGACGTGCTGCGCTCTGGCATCGGCAGCGCCACCGCAACTGGCGCCCTGGGCACGACCCAGCCCGCGAGAAGCACTGCCTGCAACTGGTGTGTGCTTGTGCTGCAAATCATGTCACGTTCTTGTTTCTCTCCAATTCACCAACCCCCATTTCACCGAATGTGACTTCCTCACTCTGTCACCATCACCATCACCACGATGCACGTCTGCAGGCGATGCGTTCACTGGTGTCCGCGCGGTCGCCGCTCGATGCCGATGGCCCCGATGCGCTGGTGCACATGGCGTGCTTTCAGCGCGTGGCGCAGCTGAGCAGCGAGCTGCTGACGCTGATGGGCGAGCACGAGCGCGCAAAGGACCGCGACGCCGTCATTCGCGAGCAGGAGGAGGCAAACCGGCAGAAGCTCGCAGAGATGTTCAAACCCGTCAAGTTCTCCCGGCGACAACTCAGGTCTGCTACGTGGTTTCGTGTGGCACGTGTGTGCGCGCGCGCGCGCGCGCGTGTGTGTGTGTGTGTGTGTGTGTGTGTGTGTGTGTGTGTGTGTGTGTGTGTGTGTGTGTGTGTGTGTGTGTGTAGCTGGATGCTTGTCCTATTGCTTGTGTGCATGTATGTGATGCGAGTGGTGTCGTGCAGGGCATTACTGTTGGTGCAGTTTCATCACAGATTCCTCAAGTTGCTCTCACTTATGGCGCCTTCCAACAACTTTCGCTTTTGCAGTGCTGGCAAGCTTGTGCCTCAGACGGAGAGCACATCAACGCAGCCGCCCGAACGTCAAATGGGCCGAACAGCGTCCACACAACAACAACAATGGCGCCAACAGCAACAGCAACAGCAACCAACACCGGTACCGAAGCAGAAGGCGAGCGAACCCCCATCACCACCACCAACTGCCGCTGCCGTCACGTCAACAGCGCAAGAGGACGAGCCCGTGCTCCCACTCTCCCAACGCCTGCGGGTGCGTGTGTGTGTGTGTGCACATGTTGGCGTGATTGTACCTTGTTTGGTGAGTCGTGTGTCATGTACATGGTGCACATGCTGTTCACATCTGCTGGCAAACAACCAGGCACGCACTCGTACACGAGCATGCACATTTGACGTCAACTGATTGCAACCACGAGTTTACGCAATCCACTTCATCACCGTAACGTGATTCTTTGCTGACAGAACCTGGAAGCTGTTGCCAACGTCAAGATGACAGACACGGAGAGCCAGCAGCCGCCGCCGCTTGCCCGATTTGGAAAAGCGGCAACGTCGTCGTCCAGCATTGGAGCAAAGCAGCGGCAGTCCCCCTCAAGCGCTACATCCAGCACGAACGCATCGCCCACCAAGACGGGCGGCTTTTCCCTGTCAAAGACGACCACCTCTCCAACACAACAGCAGCAGCAACAACAGCAGAGGAGTGCTGTCTCTGCTGCGGGCGCCAAATCGGCACACGCAAACGCGCAGCAGCAACAGCAGCAACAGCAACAGGCGAGCCAGGACCACCAGTCGCAGCAGTCGCAGCAGCAGCAGCAGCGCTTCAAGGCGCCATCCTTTACCAAGACCAACGCAAAGCCAGATCACCCCATGGTATGAAACACGTGTGTACGTGTGTGCGTGTGTGCGTGTGTACGTGTGTGCGTGTGTCTCTCTGTCTGTGTGTGTCTGTCTGTCTGTCTGTCTGTCTCATGTTTGTTTGTTTGTTGATGCGTTTGTCGCCAAGTGTTCGCTTTGTGGGGTTCTCACCACCATTCGTCTCTCACATCTTTCATCTCTGCACGACCACCATCCCTTACAACCCTAGATCAAGCTAATGCGACAGCAGCAGAAGACGTCCAAGTGATGGGTGTCTTGGCGACCAACCTGCAGTCACATGTTACATCCACCTCCCTCTCACTCTGTTCAGAACCCCCCCCCCCGCCTACAATGCTTCGTGTCACTTGTTCTTTTCAGCTTCTCTCCTAATCTCTCTTTGTTGTGCTTGTCGGTGCTCATGGCATGTGCTTGCTTCTTGCCATGTCCGTTTCTGCGCAGCATTGTACATGTGTGTACATGTGTGTGACATTTTGTTTCTGTTGGGGATCAACAGCGTTATGTTCACCGACCGTCTCTCAGCGTAACGCAACGACTGAGCAATACAATGCAGCCACCCGTCCTGTGATTTGATGATCAATCCTTTATTTATGTTGAAGAAGCATCGCAGCTGCTGGTCACCGGTGTGGGGAACAGGTGTGCATGTTTCGGGCACGAAGAGCAAGAAAGAAGAGGGGAGCGGGTGGTGAAGTCGGACACGTGATCAAGCACATGATCACTCCTCCTCAAGCTCGACCAGCACGCCGTTGCAGTCCTACGAACGTGTAGCGTGTGGGTGTGTGTGTGGGGGGGGGGGGGTGGGGCAAGCGTTTGTGAGGGTTGCGACGCACAGCAACATCACACGCGCGCATGCCTGTTACCCCCCCCCCCATCGCGGACACACACAAAAACATTCGCACACCCATCAACATGCAACCAAGCAACACAAACACGCGTGAATTGAGAAAGGCGGTACCTTTGGGTGGAGGAAGACGACGGGCTTGCCGTGAGCGCCAATCTGACGCATGGCATGATGAGCCAATCCAGACGGATACGAGCATCGTCGGGGAGGTCAAGGGTGCGCTTGGTGAGTCGCCAAACACCAGCTCGATCAACGATCACACGATTGAACAAGAAAGGAATGGTGCGCAGCATGCGCGGCAACGTCACCGCCGTCATGCGCCCACTTCACACGTGTGCCACGAACCTTTGGCTCTGGTGTGAGGGTGCGGATGCCGTTGTCCTTGACTTGCTGCATTGCGGCCTTGATGTCGCTCACCTCCATGCAGATGTGGTGCATGCCACCGCTCGGGTTCTTCTCCATGAACTTGGCGATTGGACTCTTGTCGCCCAACTCTTCCAGCAGCTGCAGGATTGCGTGTGGGGGTGGTGGATGAGTGTGAGCAAGAGTGTATGTGTGTGCATGTGTGTGTGTGTGTGCGCGCGTGAGTGTGTGAATGTGTGCGCATGTGTGTGTGCGCGCGCGTGAGTGTGTGAGTGTGCGTGCGTGTGGCTGTGCATGTGCGTGTGTGCTTAACAGCTTGAGGGCTGAACGCTAATGTAAAACAGAGTCACATTTGATGCGCACACAACAACAGGACTTTGTACAACCAACCACCTCACCTCAATCTTTGTGTCACCGAGGTTGACAAATACGGTGGTGACGCCGTGCTCTGGCAGCGCCTGCACCCGACAAAGCAAGGCCAGGTCAGAAGAGGTGTAGGACAATGGCTTGGCAAGAAACATACGCATGCGCATACACACACACTGACACAAGAAGTCGTGATCTCACCTGCGGTTCGCTGACGTTTGCCTTGAGCACATCACGGTAGAGGGCCACGCTCTTCTCTGCAAGCAGATGTAAACACACACCAACCGACAAAGCAACGGAGTGTCAAGTGCGTAAAGCCAGGGATGCAGGTGCACAACTGCTACTACCTGTCTCCTGCTCTCTTCAAAACACATGACATGCACCGCGAACTACAAACACATGCGTGTGTATGCTAACCAAGAGAAGGCACTGCCACAGCGACGTGGTTCAGCTTTCCCAGCGCCCAGGGTGCGCCTGGGTTGAGAGTGTGCATCATGTGTGTGTGTGTGTGTGTGTGTGTGCATCATGTGTGCATGTGTGTGTGTGCGTGGGTGTGTGCACGCATCATGTGTGTGTGTCTGATGTGAGGAACCAATACACAAGCACAACCGATGTCAACAAAGCAGCAGTCTGATAACGCTGGCAACCGTTGAAGTTACATGCCGCGTCACATCGTCAAACCCGGTTCCCTCTCGCTGCTCGTTCTTCTTGCACGCACCTGCGGGCACGGTGGCCAAGCGACGAACAGCAGAGAACATGGTTGTCACGGTGGAGCTGGAGCAGCGGCTGGCTGGTTAGTGCAGTGAGTTCGTTGGCGTGCAACATGCAAATGCGAGTGTCCTGCGACTGAATTCAGTCGCACTGTGTCTGTGTGTGTCTGTGTGTGTGTGTGTGTGTGTGTGTGTGTGTGTGTGTGTGTGTGTGTGTGTGTGTGTGTGTGTGTGTGTGTGTGTGTGTGTGTGTGTGTGTGTGTGTGTGTGTGTGTGTGTCTGTCTGTCTCTCTGTCTCTCTGTCTCTCTATCTCTCTGTCTGTACCTCTGTCTCTCTGTCTCTCTGTCTCTCTGCCTGTACCTCTCCTTCTGATCCTTTTTTCGCCACCCAATGATGACCCATGTCCCCATCTGTCGCTCCATGCCCAGAAACGTTGGTTCAACTGTGAATTGGGGGGAACAGGTGAACCTGTTGCACTCAAACTGTCTGTCGGTTAAGCAAGCAAACAAGCAAGCAAGGGAAACAAGAGAAAGAAAAGGAGGAAGGCGACGAGAGAGTAGAGCGGTGGAAACGCTGCGCTGGAAACAACACGCCATTCAAGGCAACAGTGAGGTTGGCACTATCCCCCCCCAGCGCCTTCGCTCCGCTCACCCTCGCCCCAAAGCAACAGCAATACATCACCACTAGATGAGCGTGACACGCACACCAGACTCGGGCTGCGTCGATGCACGACCACGGACGGCCTTGACTTCAAGGCACTCCTCCTCCCCGATATCCTCAACAATGAGCGCGCCGCGGTGCTGCTCCTGCTTACGACTCGCACTGCTCGAGTAGTGCCGCGGCGAATCATACACCCTCATCTGCTGCTGTTGCTGTTTCTGCTGCTGTGGGTGGTGGTGTTCACTGTGGTGGTGTGGATGTGGTTGGTGGTGGTGCTCATCTCCATCCTTGGCGCCAGCGGAGCCCAGCACGGCGACGCGCGGGTGGCGGCGTGGTTCCGGGCGGCCGCCACGCTGGATGACACCAAACGGATGCGAGCGTTGTTGCTGTTGCCGTTGTTGGTGCTGCTGCTGCTGCTGCTGCTGCTGCTGCTGCTGCTGCTGCTGCGTGTGTTGGTGCAGCAGCAGGCGCTTTCCGGCAGCGTTTCCGCGGCGCTCCGGCTTCCGAAACAGGTGCACAACCGGTGATGCCGTTTCCGAGGGGGTGGCAGAAAGAGCCAGCTTGCTGCTCATCAAGCTGCTGTTTGCGCTGGACAGTCGACTGCGCGGCTGCTGGCCTTCCTCTTCCTGCAGCTGCTGTCGCGGCTCCGTTGCGTGTTCGGCACGACGCGTGCGTTGGCCCTTCCCAACCATAGACTGCTCCTTCACAACCGCAATCTGCCTCAAGTCGCCATGTGACAGGCTGCGATGTGCCCGGGTAATCTCCACATGCTTGCTCGCTTCCTCTGCCTTTGCTGGTGCAACAAGTAGATGGCGCACAGCGTTTGTTCTTTGGCGCGGGGAATCCTTCAACGCCTTCAGCCCGCCCGTTCCAGATTGCACGTGGCGGAACTGATACGGCCGACTGATCACCACCTTCTCCTGCAGACAATCATGCATACGCATGCATGCATGAGTGAGTGTGATTGAGTGTGAGAGAGAGCGATTGTGGGTATGGGCGATTGTGGTTGTCGGTGTGTGTGTGCGTGTGAGCGTGTGTGCGTGTGAGCGTGTGCAAGTAAGAGTATGTATACGTGTGTAGGAGTGTACATGTGTGTGTGTGCGTGTGCGTGCGTGAGTGCAAGTGAGTGGTTTTGTGTTTGAGCAAGAAGCAAGCAACAACATCACATTGTTCTTCACTGTACGAAATCAGCTGATCGATTCATGCCCCACCTGTGCCTGCTGTTGCCGGGTGTCGATGACGTTGGAGATTTGTTGCAACGGCTGATGGCGCGTGCCGTCTGCATGCTTTGCACGCTGCCTGTGTACTTGGTGCATGTTACCGGCACCAGCAAGCTTGCTGTCATACCCAGAACTCTTCCTCTGGTTGCTGTTGCTGCTGTTGTTTTGTGTTTTATTGTTGTCCGTGCTGCTGCTGCTGCTGCTGCTGCTGCTGCTGCTGCTGTTGGTCTGGCGCACGTGTGTGGTAGTTGTAGCATGAGTTTGGGCCACCAGCGCTGCGGCCGCTTTCGCCTTGGAGGCGCCACTGTCGCTGCCGCGCCGACTGTGTGTCGCAGCCACACCAGCCAGTTGCATCATGGCACTTCGCGCTTGGGAGCTCTGCTGTGCTGTGGATGAAGCATCTTTCGTGGGGTCTGTTGCGCCTTCAAAAGTCAGGCCCGCCTTCTCGTTCTGCTTTGCTCCACTGCTCTCACCAGTCTGCCTGTCCGCGTCCTGCAAACCGGTTGCTGCTGCTTCCGCAACACTTGTCGTTGACTTTGCCCTGCCGAGCGAAGATGAGCGCGCGCGCTGCCACCACGACTGTGGTCGCCCGTCCTGCCTGCTCTCTTTGTCTCGAAATCCGCCCGTAAACTTGAAGGCGCTGCAGAGTGAGAGCAATGTGTATTCATGTGTGTGTGTGTGTGTGCGTGTGTGAGAGAAAGCGCTTCGGTAAATGGTGTGACGTTGAGACAGTAACATCCAGTTGCAGATCATATCACACATGCGCACGCACACACACACACACACACGCAAATACACTCGCACACACACACACACGCACGCACACGCACACACACACGCTACCCTGGTGTTAACCAACGTACAATGGTCTGCCACGGCGGTTGGCCGGGCCAGCTGCCTTCTTTGCCACTTCTTCTTCGTAGTTGCCCGCGCTCATGCGCTTTGCGCCGCCCGCAGTGCGCATCTGTGCCATGCTCGTACTGACAGCGCAGTGGAGGACACATTGTGATGCAAACAATCATCGTTAGCATCGGCACATGGGAAGTGCAAGGTTGCGTGCAGCAATTGGCAACAGTCAGTTGGCAGCACCGCTATGCATGGTTTTGCAGTTTCATTCACGCCCGCACGCAATCCACAAGCAAACACACAGGCGGCACGCGCACACCAGTACAAGAACGACCACCCACTAAGAAAACATACACGCACACACATTTGCAACTGCAAACACGCACACACAGCCACACACACATTTACAACTACAAGAGTCCACACACATCCACGAACACACACACACACACACATTCACGAACACACGTACCTCCAGCGCGAAGGAAGCGTGCCAATCCTGCCCTGCGTGTCGTGTGCAGCGGCCAGCTCTTCAGCAACACCGCTGCCCTCGGAATGCGACGACCCCCTCTTGCTCGCTGCATTTTCCTTGTGCTCGTCGTCTTGACAGCGGCGCTCAAATTCCGCCTGAAGGACACAGCGCAGCATGCAACCACGATGGCCATGAGATGTGAGCACGTGGTTAATGTGTGTGTGTGTGTGCGTGTGTGTTTGTGTGGGCTAATTGCTTTTGTGCGTGTGCATTTATGGTTGTGTATGTGCAAACACCAAGCGTGATGCCAACTGCCATCTCCTTCAGGTGTTGTGGTCGAACTACCCCAGCCCTTGGTGCATACCATGATGGTGAGTGTCGACGTAAGAGACATTGGCCGCCGCTTTCGTCTCCTGTTCACAGGACACGAACACGCACACATATACACGTACAGTGTTCGAACACCTCAGCATAGATGAGAACAACAGTGATAGAAAAAGGGAAAAGAAGATGACCAACACACTCCCGGTGCCATGGCACGGCAGTTCCTTTGATCAGAGATCAACCAACCCTTTTCCTGGCGGGCGCCTTGTTTTTCCCTGGCGTCGAAATGCGTCCACCTGAACAAAACAAGAAACACGCACACACGCGGATAAACGAACGCACACACACGGATAAACGAACACACACACACATGCACGCACGCACGCACGCACACGGATAAACGAACGCACACACGAACACACAATGGAACACACTCATGTGAACAAACAATTTCCATGTCAATGGTGCAACCGCCTGAAATGGCAAGCAAGCACTCGCACACCACACAGGCACGGCAGTCAACTTCAATTCGTACCAGCTCCTGGCCTTTGGTGATGCTGTCGTTGAGTTGATCCATCAGCACCTTCGTAACACATGCACGCGCACATCAAAGGTGACGTCTGGAACAAAACACAGCTTTGATGCATCAACCCAGAACCACACAAGAACAAAACACACACACACGCACACACACACACACACGCACACGCACACGCACACGCACACGCACACGCACACACGCACATGCAACGCACACACACACACACGCCCACGCACGTACCTTGATTTTCTCCAATGCTGTGCAAAGTTGCTGGTGATCAGGATGATCAGAAGGCGTGACCTGAATGATTAGACAGTGTGTGAGTGTGGTGGAACGAACTGGGATGCACGCACAGTAGTCTCAGTAAATGCATCAAAGCACCTACGCGTGCACACGCAAATTCATGGTCACGTGTGCACACAAATGCCCACTCATCAAAACACCCACAAACACGCACACACTCAAACCTTGATGAGCTCTGTGATGAGGAGAATGTAGCGTGGCAGGCGCTGGATTGGTGTGAGGAGGTATGCAGCCAAGTCGAGTCGCCCAGGCTTCAGACGCACAATGTCGTCGTGGAAGCCAACGTAGTTGCTGTTGGTGCGCGTCAGCTGTTAATGGTCATACACACGCACACACACACACACACACACACACACACACACACACACACACACACACACACACACACACACACACACACACACAAGAGCAAAGGCAGACACTCGGCGGTGAGGAGTTGTGAAAAACGCATAAACGAGCGGTGCAAGTAAATGCAACCACGCAGGTGAGAGGACGCATCCAAGAGCACAGCAGCGCCAGGCAATACACACAGACTGTTCACCCACACACGCACACAAACGCGACAAGCATTCACACGCACACACACGCGCATACAAAGTGAACACGTCCACTTTCTCCTTTTACGTTACCTTTGCCAGGTGCTGCATGCTGTCGATAAATTCGCGCGCGTATTCCGTGTATTGCTGGAAAAACGCCCGACTTGCAAGTCCGCGTCCAAAAACATCGCCGACCACAGCTAAGAGAAGTCATCGCGCAAACACACACACACACACACGCACGCACAACGTGAGCACACGATGTGTTAAAGTTTGCTGCGATTTCGATTCCACGCCATCAATGTTTTGTCTCATTGGTCCCACAGTATGGCGTACGCTCGACAAACCCCCACCTTACGTACCTGCGTGCGAGTCTGTGTTTGCTGGCCAGAGCTGAAACCGCGTCTGCAGCTGTTCCAGCAGCTGCTTGTGCGTTTCCAAGAGCTTGTCCAGGGACCTGGGGAACAGCCGTTGCGCATCCTTCGGTGTTTGGTTGATAACACGTGCAAGCGTAAGCAGGTGTTGTGATCTCCTGTGACGGCACCACCCACAAAGCAGGCAGTTCAGGTTCCCAACAGGAGCAACCAAGAAAATCACAGCAGCACACCCTCATATGCATTGGCAAACATGCAGAAGTGCACAAGGAACGATCACTTGTACCTCAAGTGAGATTGCGCTGCTTGTGACCATGGGCACTTTGAAGTGGACCAGCATCGTCTCAATGCCGTTGACATATGTCCGCTCTGTGTCGACGACTTCCTGCAAGATTCGCATTCGTTGTTGTCGGGCAATGCTCTTTGCCTCTTGCTCTATCGACTCAACGCGCAGTCAACAAGGCATGTAACACGCACCACCATGGAAAAACGAGTGAATGAGTGAGTGAGTGAATGAGTGAGTGAGTGAGTGTGTGTGTGTGTGAGTGAGTGTGCAAATGTGATGAGTGAGTGAGTGGGCAAGTAAGTGAGTGAATGAGTGAGTGAGTGTGTGTGTGTAAATATGAGTGGGCGAGTCAGTGAGTGAGTGAGCGAGACAAACAGAGAGCGAGAGCAAAAGAGTGTACAACACAATCACATGCACACAAACAAATCAAACCAAGTGACAAACGTGACAAACAAACAAGCTAACAAGCTAACAAAAGCACACACCTTGTGCCTTTTCATCTGGGGAGCCAAATGGCGTGACGTGATCGCTGCGCAGTGATGAAGTGCTGCTGTAGGTCCCGATGGGGCTGGAGTCCAGGCATTTTGATCGCTTGCATGCAATGTCTTCATTTGCAACATCATCCACATCGAGCACCATCGCTTTGCTGTCGGCGTCATCGGCAACAGTCTCGTCGCCGCCGCCACCGCCCTGTACATTGATGCGAAGGTTCTGCAGGGATGCACGCATTGGTGTAGAACGCAGAGCAGATCGTGAGCTGATGGGCCTGCGATGCATGACGAGGAGCTGCTACAACAATGTAAAACACACTGTACAATGTGGATGAAGTCGCACAACTCCAACGAAGGTGGAGCACCAAGCAGTTGCAACTAGCAGCAGCAGGGCGGCCACAGCCAAACAATATCACGGAAAATTGCAAGAGCACTACTAAGTAGCAGTAAAACAGCAGCACAGGGAGCATCCAGAGCAGCAATTGAATCACTCTGACATGTGTGTCCTTACGTGCGGACGAAATGGGACTGGTGGCTGCCGACGCCGTGGTTGTGCACTTCCACTGCCATCAGCCTTGCTGGCAGTGTGTTCCTCCGTAACTGGGGAAAGCATGGATCTGTCCATGGTACCGCGTGGCCGCGCGCTCAGCACTGGTCTGGACCGCCGCAACGGGGTGATCATGAGTGACTCGTGCGAGGTTTCCAGGGCGCTTCGCTTCTCTCTTGTCTGTGGCTCGCGTTGCTGAGAATCTCGGTGCAGTCCGGCCCTCTCCCCTTGCTGTACAGCAGCATGTGGAGTGCAGCCATGACGCTGCTGAGATGGCTGTGGCGCTTGTGCTGGTGCCTGTGCTTGTGCTGGTGCCTGTGCTTGTGCTTGTGCTGATGCTTGTGGTTGCTTTGCACTCCAACCATGAACTTGCCGCTTGTCCATGGTGCACGACTCGCTTGGCTCGTCGAGCAGCTGTCTCTGGGAGTGTTCCTGTGTGTGTGATATTGCTTGTGTTTGTGTGTTCCTGGGTGTCTCACGCTTGAGTGCCTGCGTATGGACGAGGGTGTGCAGGGGTTGTGAAGGGGAGGGTCGATGGCTGGCTGGCTGGCAATGCACACCCGCGCTTTGTCGCCTGTGTGTCAGGGGTATGGAATTTGAAAATGCCGGCACGAACGCACTGCGCTTTATCCTGTTACAACCTGCGATTCAGATTATTTTGCCACACCACCGGCCGGCTGGTCGGCGATTGCCTTTTTGCCACTTTGGTATTTGCCACACACACATATCGCTCCAGCCGACAACGCCAAGACACAGACCAGACAAGACAAGCGAGCAAGATGGTGCTGGGTGACCTTGGTCGCAAGATCAAAGGTGCGCTATGGAACATGACAAGCGCCACCGTCATTGACGAGGAGGTCTTTGACGAGCTTGTCAAGGACATCTGCCGCGCACTCATCGAGTCTGATGTGCAAGTTGGTCTTGTGAGCAAGCTTCGCAACAACATCAAGTGAGTCATGTCTACGTGTTTGTATGGTGCAAAGGTGTGTCTCTGTGCGCTTTTGTGTGTGTGTTCGTATGAATGCGTGCATTTGTGTGGTGCTTGTGTGTGTGTGTGTGTTCGTATGAATGCGTGCATTCGTGTGGTGCTCGTGTGTGTGTGTGTGTGATGAACGTGTGGACAGGCATCCATGGCGACATGAGCTGACATGACTTTCGTGCATTTGCAGGGCCGCGGTTCAATTCGATGATTCTGGCGCGGGTGTGAACCGACGTCGGCAGATCCAGCGCGCCGTCTTCACAGAGCTCTGCAAGGTACCTATGTGTGTGTCTGTGTGTATCCGTGTGTGTCTGTGTGTATGTGCTCGCATGTCCCCCCACCCCTGTGTTCGTCTCCCCCTGTCTTCGTCCCCCCCCCCAATCTCCATCTTCCCCCCCCCCGTCTCCTTCTCCATGTCTCTCCTTCCGCCTCTGTCTCTGTCTCTGTTGTGGTTCCACGTCCTCTTTGCACGTGGTTTGTTTGATCGCTTGTTCGCCCATGCAGCATGACTCACTCACAAGCTTCACTCGCTCGGTGTGTTTGTAGCTTGTGGACCCTGGCGTCACGCCATGGAAGCCCAAGAAGAACCAGCCCAACGTCATCATGTTTGTTGGTCTGCAGGGCAGCGGAAAGACAACCACATGCACCAAGGTATCGATGTGCTGTTTGTGTGCGGCTGTTTTGTTTGTTCCTGGAGATGGCTCGCTCCTTCACTCTTTGTGTGTGTGTGTGTGTGTGTGTGTGTGTGTGTGTGTGTGTGTGTGTGTGTGTACTTGTGTGTTTGCGCTGAGCATCACGTATGCGTCTCAACACAATGCCAACAATATCTGACTCGGCCACGATTGACGCACCCAATGTCACAGCTTGCGTACCACTACCAGCGGCGCGGGTGGAAGGCTTGCCTGGTCTGCGCTGATACGTTCCGTGCTGGCGCCTTTGATCAGCTCAAGCAGAACGCAACCAAAGCCCGCATCCCTTTCTACGGCAGGTGGGAATTATAGGAATACCCTCTGCAAATGCTTCGCGTGTTGTGTGCCTCTGCTCTCAACACACACTCTCTCTCACACATTCACTCACACACACACACACACACACACACACACACACACACACACACACACACACACACACACACACGCACTCGCTCGCTCACACACGCACACACATACTTGCATGTCGCGCACCACTTGCAGCTACACGGAGATTGACCCCGTTGTGATTGCGGCGGATGGTGTGGAGAAGTTCAAGCAGCAAGGCTTTGAGATCATCATCGTCGACACCAGGTCCGCATCACCACACACACACACACACACACACACACACACACACACACACACACACACACACACACACACACACACACACACACACACACACACACACACACACACACACACACAACCTTCTTCGTTCATCTGCGAGCGAACATGTTATCTCAATTGTTACCCAACACTGCGCGTCATGTTTCTGTCATCTGACGTCACCTTGTGCACGGCACCATTCCCCGCCTTCCTCTTCTCCTCTTTGCCCTACTTCTCTTTGCCCTCGGCACTGCAGTGGGCGCCACAAGCAGGAGGATTCGCTGTTTGAGGAGATGCTGCAGGTGTCCAACGCCGTCGACCCAGACAACATCATCTTCGTCATGGACGCAACCATTGGTCAGGCGTGCCAGGGCCAGGTCGGTGCCATCAAGGGGGAGGGAGAAAAAATTGCGTGTATGTGTGTGAGTGTGTTTGTGTCTGTGTTTATGTCTGTGTGTTTGTGTGTCTGTGTGTGAAAGAGTCAGAGAGAGAGAGAGCATGTAATGTGTGACAGGCGTGAGCAATGACAAACTTGCGACGAGTTCGTGTACATCACAACGACTCAACCATCAGTACTGGTGACCGTATCCTGGCACTGCTGTTGTTTCTGTGCGTCAGGCCCAAGCCTTCAAGGACAAGGTTGACGTCGGTGCTGTCATTGTCACAAAGCTTGATGGTCACGCCAAAGGAGGTGCGCATTTCGCGCGTATGTGTGTGTGTGTGTGTGTAAGTGTGTGTCTGCATGGTGTCGCAGCTGTGCTTCTATGACACCTGCTCCCCATCATGCACACATACACACACGCTAACTCCCTCCCCCCTCTCTCTCCCTCAACCTCCCTGACATTGTGTTGGAGCAGGTGGCGCGCTGTCTGCGGTTGCGGCGACGAAGAGTCCCATCGTGTACATTGGCACGGGCGAGCACATTGACGACCTGGAGCCCTTCCAGACCAAGTCCTTTGTCAGCAAACTCCTCGGCATGGGCGACGTCCAGGGGCTCATGGAGCGCGTCAGGTGAGCGCATAAGCGTATGTATGTGCGCGTATGTATGTGCGTGTGCGTGTGTGTATATATGCGTATGCGTGAGTGTGTGTGTCTGTGTGTCTGTTTGTCTGTCTGTCTGTCTGCCTGCCTGTGTGTGCATGTGTGTGTGCGTGACTTTTTTCGAGTTTTTTTTTTTTTTTCCGATGCTCACTTCGCCCGACACGTGTACGTATACACTCGTGCTGTCATCTCCCGCCACCATCTGTCTCACCCCACGTACCACCACCACCACCACCACTCGGGTGCAGTGAGATTGGGCTGGACAAGCAGAAGGACATGATGGAGCGGATCAAGGCCGGCGTCTTCACCATGCGCGACATGTACGAGCAGTTCCAGAACATCCAGAAGCTCGGCCCCTTCAGCCAAGTCATGGTCAGTCAACTTGGCGGTGACGTGGTAGTGAAGTGGGAGGGGGGAGCTTGATGGTTTCTGGGGTCGGTTGGGGTTGTTGGTCGTTGCTGTTGGCGGTTGATTGTTGTGCTTCCTTGTGCTCTTCCTGGTGTTGGCTGTGCTTGTTGAGAGCGCAGTCTCACAAGCACCAACCAACACCCTCGCCGTATACGACCTCACCATGAACAACACACAACACGCCCTGCCACAACATGCCGCCTACACAGAGCATGATCCCTGGGCTGGGCGGGGATCTGCTTGGCAAGGCCGGGGAGCAGGCGTCGTCGGACCGCCTCAAGCGCTTCATGGTCATCATGCGCAGCATGACGGACGAAGGTCAGCACACCACCGCATCTTCCAATGATTTGATGCCACGCACGCACATGTCAACATCGCCTGCTCTGCAAGTTTGAATGGCCATCAGATGTTGAACTTGCTCAAACAACACCCCCCTCGGGGAGGGAGGAGGGAGGCGTGTGCTTGCTAACCATCACAACCCACCGCTACTTCATTGCATTTCCAAACCCACCATCCCACGTCTTACATCCCCCCCCCCCCTTTCCATCCTTTGTTCTGCGCGCGACTGCAGAGCTTGACAGCGACAACCTTGCGAAGATGTTCCAAATGCAGCCGTCACGCGTGCAGCGCGTCGCACGCGGCGCAGGTGATGATCGTGGTGATGGTGGTGGTGTTGGTCGTGTTAGCGTGGATGGTGGTCGTGTTAGCGTTGATGGTGGTCGTGTTAGCGTTGATGGTGGTCGTGTTAGCACTGGTATCCACTCTTCTGCACACACACTCTGTTGTGTGCACACGCACACAGCCGCCACGAACACCGCGCACTTCAATGACAATCGCACGCCATCTCATCATCTTTATTGTGTGTGTGTGTGCATGCGTAGGCGTGCATCCTGGCGAGGTTGAGGCACTGCTGCAACAGCACAAGAAGTTTGCAGAACTCGTCAAGAAGATGGGCGGCGTCAAGGTCGGTGGTGTTGTACTCTGTGTGTGTGTGTGTGTGTGCGCGAGCGCCTGTGTGTCTGTGCGCGCGCCTGTGTGTCTGTGTCTGCGTCTCTCTCTCTCTCTCTCTCTCTCTCTCTCTCTCTCTCTCTCTCTCTCTCTCTCTCTCTCTCTCTCTCTCTGTGTGTGTGTGTGCATTCACTGTTTTCGATTCCATCCATTCAATGCTGTACACTGACACGACCGTGGCAACCCCACCACTGCTTTCCATCATCTCCATTGCAGAATCTGTTCCAGGGCAACTCTGACCGGGTGTCTGCACAGCAGATGTCGAAGCTCAACCAGTCCATGGCCAAGATGATGGATCCACGCGTCCTCAAGCAGATGGGTTCGTGGTGAAGCTGTACGCCGTGTTGTCGCTGTGCCTGTATGTATGTATGTATGTATGTATGTATGTATGTATGTATGTATGTATGTATGTATGTATGTATGCATGTATGTATGTATGTATGTATGTATGCCTGTTTCCCTGCCTGCTGCCTGCCTGCCTCTCTGCTTGTCCACTCGCCCAACTCTTCCCTCACCCCGAACAAACATACAAACATACACAAACACACACACACACACACACACATACACACACACACACATTGACGCAACATGCTGTCTGCAGGCGGCATGAATGGGCTGCAGGGGCTGATGAAGAAGTTTACTGGCGGTGGCGGCGGCATGGGAGACCTGAGCCAGATGATGGGCGACATGATGGGTGGCGGGCAGATGCCGGCAATGGGGAACCCCGCCGCAGGCCGGAGGAGAGGCCGCAAGTAGACGCCCCCCCCCCCCACACACACACACACACCTGCCACGCATTTACAGCCTCTGTGTGTCTCTGTGTCTGTATGTGTCTCCGTGTGCGCAGTGAAGCCCCTGTTGGATGTTGTTGTTCTTCCTTCCTTACAAAGCATGCGGCCTGTTGTTGTGCGGGGTGTCTGTCTTGTCTGTTTACCTTTTTCTTGTCTGTCTTGTCTGTCGTTCGTGGCATCTTGATTACATGGACCCTCTCGACCAAATGAGCAGACATCACATTAATCCATCACATTAATCCATCAAACCATCGAAGCGTTTACTTATTACTCTGTGTACACAAGATGGTGAAGCTCACTCTATGTTGTGTTTGGTGGGTTGATTATCGTACCTGCCAGAAACACACACACACACATGTCCCGGGCGACGGCCTCCATCGCCACACACACACACACACACACGCACTCACTCACATAAACACACACACACACACACACACTATCCGAAGGGCCAAAAGTTGAAAAAGCCGGCTTGGCTGGTGGTCTTAGCAGACGGTGACTGTGCTGCTGCTGCTGCTGCCGCCGCTGTGGCATCCACAGCTGCTGTGTTGTGTGGGTTGGCGCCTCGCTGCTGCTGCTGCTGCTGTTGCAGCTGGGCCAGCACCGTCCTGAGCTGCTCCTGTGTGTCCGCCTGCTGGGCACGCAGCTGCTCAATGTCATCGCGCAAGGAAGCGAGGGTGCTCTGCAGCTTGGCCTCCTTGGCGGCGGATTTCTTGGCCGAGGCGTTGTATTCCCCGACCAGCATGACGGTGGCCACGCTGAAGATGAAGAACTCGCCGATAAACTCTGCACCGTACGTCACGGCGAGATCTTCGCTGAGTGGCTTCACGTCCCGCCTGGAGCTGTTCATCGTCAACCGCTGCAGTCGCACGGAGATCCAGTGGGTTGCCTGTCCCACTGGCACAACCACCCGCTGCCTCAGCGTCTCGTGCGTCATGGCTTGTTGCTAACATGAGCAGGTTGTGTGTGTGTGTGTGTGTGTGTGTGTGTGTGGTTGGAGGGGGGCAGTGTGTGTGTGAGTGTGAGTCAGTGATTGAGAAAGCGATTGCATACACATGTGAGTGAGGGAGCAAGCGAGCAGCAGTGATGGAGCAGCAGTGTGAGTGCCCCACACCATACCCACTGAACACGTACACACGCGCACACACACACACACACATGCACGTACCTTGAGCAGTTTTGAGATTGGCTTGGCCACCGTCTTGATGGTCAAGCTCATGATCTTCATGATGGGTAACGCAGACATGATGGAAGCTTGCTTGCTTCCCTGGAAGTAGATGGGCTGGTACAGAGGGAGATCAACAGTGGCTGGAGTGTGTCTATGTGTGTGTGTGTGTGTGTGTGTGTGTGTGTGTGTGGTGTCTGTGTGTTTGTGGCTCTGCTTGTCCTTCCTTCTTTCCTAGTTGTCGCACACATCGAACGCCAACAGCCAGCAATCGGGCAAAAATTGCTGATTCAGCGATTTCTGCCTGTGCAAAAAGAGGTGAAAATCTTTGGAAATTTTATGAGGTGCGGCTACATTTGTGGATATCTTCAACAAATAATCACCACCACCACTCCACATCTGTGCCTTTTTTCTGCTGGTGCTGTTCGCGTGCCCGTCCCTTGCCTCTCCCACCACCACCAAACCCACCCCCAGCCAACCTCCAGCCATGGTAAGCCCGCGTGTGTTGTGGTGTGTGCGGGAGTGTGTTGTGGTGGTGTGTGGTAATGTGTGAGCGTGTGTGTTGTGTGATGCAGACGTGTGGGAGAGAGGCCGCAAGTGGCAAACTGAAAGCTTTGTGGCAAGTTGCACGTGAGGACCCCCTTTGCCACACACGCACCAACCACTGCATGCAACACCAAGCCTCAGCAGCACCAGCACCAGCACCAGCAGCAACGATGGTGATGATGATGTGGAC